TGGTCGATTACTCGGATGGATTAAGCATCGACCCCCCACACATTGGTACCTGAATGTTATTCCTATTCAGTGTGCCCTTAGGTCTATAGTTGTTAAATGGAGTAAGCTTGATCGAATGTCGCCCCAATCGTTTTCTTTTCCAACAATTAAGAACACTAAAAACCAAAGAACAACTGCGGTCTAGTTAGTCCATTGTCCATGAAATGCAAAACATTTTTGTCGATACGGTTTGGCATTCAACCAGCAATACTCCGTCGCCGTCGCTTGAGTAACTATACAAACTTATCAAGCCATCTCTGAGAAGAATCCATCAAGCAGAAGAGAAATGGCGTCGCTCCAGGTAAAGTTGATTGTGATATGTTATGATTGTCAATCATGACCGTGACAGTGGTCGTCCCCATTGCTTGACTACTGCTTTACCCAACAATACACCGTTGTCGTCGCTTGATTATCAGTACAGACTTATCAATCCATCTCTGGGGAGAATCCATCTAGCAGAAGAGAAATGGTGTCGCTCGAGGTAACGTTGATTGTGATATGCTGCGATTGTCAATTATGACCATGACAGTGTTCGCCATTGGTTGCATTACACTGTTGTCGTTGCTTGATTATTACAGACTCATCAAGCCATCTCTGAGAACAATCCATCCAGCAGAAGTGAAATGGCGTCGCTCAACAAGGTAAGTTTGATTGTTGGATGTTTACATCGTGCATCATGTTGATGAAAGAAGTCGCTCATGTCATGATATGGTTTTGTTGCATTCAACCAACAATACACCATTGTTGTTGCTTGATTGCTGAAGACTTATCAAATCAACCGAACAGAAGAGAAATGGAGTATGTCAAGGTAAGTTTGACTGTCGGATGTTGCAATTGTGAATCATGAAGATGAGGACGGTGGTCATCAATACTCAACTACTTCACCCAACAATACACCATTGTCGTTGCTTGATTACTACAGACTTAGTATCAAGCCATCTCTGAAGAGAATCGATCCAGAAGAAAAGAAATGGTGCCCCTCAAGGTAAGTTGATTGTTGAAGGTTGCAATTTGCATTCATGACCGTGACAGTGGTCGCTATTGCTTGACTACTTTACCCAACAATACATTGTCGTTGTTGCTTGATTACTACATACTCATCAAGCCATCTCTGAGAAGACTCCATCCAGCAGAAGAGAAATGGCGTCGCTCCAGGTAAGGTTGATTGTGATATGTTGTGATCGTCGACCATGTTGATGAAACAAGTCGCTCATGTCTTGATATTACACAGTCCTCGTTGCTTGATTACTACAGACTCATCAAGTTGTCGTTGCTTGATTATTACAGACTTATCAAGGCATCTCTGAGAACAATCCATCCAGCAGAAGTGAAATGGCGTTGCTCAACAACGTAAGTTTGATTGTTGGATGCTTCCATTGTGCATCATGTTGATGAAACAAGTCGCTCATGCCTTGATATGGTTTGCATTCAACCAATAATACACTGGCAGCGTCACTTGATTACTACAGACTTATCAAGCCATCGCTGGGGCAAATCCATCAAACAGAAGAGAAATGGCGTCGCTCTAGGTGTGTTTAATTGTTGTATGTTGCGTTTGTCAAGGAGGATGGTCACAGTGGTCTCCATTTCTTGACTACTTTACCCAAGAATACACCCTCGTCGTCGCTTGATTACTAGGACAGACTTATCATTCCTCATAGCTTCTAATTCCATACAAAACACAATTTTTAAAAAAAGCTGAGCACCAGCATATTAGTACTAAGAATGAGCAAAGTTCTGTAGCAAATAATGGATCTTCTTATTTTGCTTTTGAAAGATTATCAAATGTCTCCTGTTCTTTAGTCATTTTTTGTTTCTAGGGTGGCCCTCCATGAAAGAAATCAGGTAAGTGTCCGGCAAAGGGTTTCCAAGATAGTACTAGCATGATACTACTACAGCCAGCCTTGGCGTGTACGACTGGCGATACCTTGTTGATGAAGCTGATAATTTGTCATCATCACTTGATGCACCAATTCCGTAGTCCCCAATTCCATTTGCAGATCTGTCATCATCCTCGTCATATTTCACTTCCCAAGCATTCCCACTTGTAAAATCAACAGGGCCTTGGTTTGGGACAAATTTTCCTTTTGGCATTGACGGGTGGTTAAGGACCTCTGCCATCAGTTCTTTTGAAATCTTGAAAATCGCTTCCTCCATAGGGTGCGGTGACTTTGCAGAGGATGGATCATTTTGATGTTGCCGTGAGAGGAAGTACTCATGGCTTCTCTTAGCTTTCTCCTCCTTTGCAGTTTGAAGTTTCTTTGACTTCCGGTCGCCTCCAGGCTTATGGTTGATTTTTTGTTCTTACTTCCTTTCGGACGGCCCATGTTGATATTTCCAAAGTTCACAACTTTCAAAATAAAACTGTTGGTCGTTATGTCCGTTATTTGTCGTTACGACCATTTCAAATATATTTTTGATCCGGAAAGTGAGATTTGTAAGCGACACCTTGGTTGTGTAGACGTGCGTAGAATCTGTACTGTCGCTCACAAAAAAAATCCGCACATATTTATCATACCTGCCGAAACATATACCCCCATATACGGTAACGTCTGTACGTCCTCTCACTGCCTAAACATACTTTATCGTGGGTAGAAGCCACTGGATATCGTTTGATGTTTCAAGACAATACAATAATGCAGTGTATTTCACTCCAAGAACGCTGATGAGAGGAGCCATACACGGGAGGCACCCAGCCAGCTCAGGGACGTACAGCCTCTGGAAGAATCACGATGCCTTATTGTGCACGGTGACAGGACCTTGGGGCACATCCTCTTCGACTCCTTTTCGAGCTACATCAAGAGGAAGAAGAAGTTCTTCCCAAAATAGGCGATGATTCTGGCAAGGGCCTACATGGCACATCCTTCAACGCCCTGCCCCGGCAATGAGACGGCGATGAAAATTATCCTTCCAGTATGGTGAATGAGATGAAGTAACAATGCCCAGGCATATCTTGGAAAGACCTAAAATAGTTTGATAGAAATCATGATGATTGTGATGTTTTTCTATTTTTCGTTGTTTGGGCGTGAAGTAGTGCACGAGGCCCTCCATTGGTTGACATGTAGGATTCCAAAATACACCAAGACGGCTGTCGACCCGATACTTCAAGGAGAGAATACGCCGGCTAGAAGGGGGGAAATGGATATTTTGGTTATCGTCCTCGAGGTTGCTTCTATAGGAAGGGCCGACATGGATCATTAAAAACTGCTAGTTGCCTTTATAGTAAACGGTTTACAATCAATTAATATGCTACATTCTAATATAGAGTCCTTCGGCTATGAAGCCATTCATTCTAGGAGCAACAAAACTCGAACAACGGTATGATTGCCGCTCCAGCACATCCCTGCTTATTGTCGTGACAGAAGCCGCTACTAGTGCTCAGTCCAATTCTGGATTTATGATCAGAAGCTTTCTTTCACATCTCTTCTGGGTATTTCTGCTGGGTCCAATGGGTCATGGTAAAAGGCGAGATGTCAAACATTCATCAGTTTGACAACATACCCGCAATCTAGACCAACAGCAATAAGCGCCTGCTGCAGTGATCTTCTCAGCAGAAAAGACAGACATCCAATCAAATTACCAATAACCCCATGGACCGCCAGCCAGCGCAGAACAATGTTGATTGTTGATTCAGGTGATGAAGAAGTGGTGTCAAATCTGGAAGATATGCCATCCAGTATGTTCTTCACAAAAGAGCGCCAACATAAGACTCCTTGCGGTCCTTTGTCCTCATTATGGCGCCAGATTACAACGAACTGGTTGCTCTGTAGTGCCCAGGATGCGGAGACCTCGTCCAGATACGTCCAGTGGCTGATTGATATGTGTGACAATAACACAAGAGGATTCCTTCCAGCCATATCAAACGCCACCAAGAGTGGGCAAATGTGAATGTGCTGGAAGCAAAGGTGAATCGGTGGCACTTGAAGGATCGGGAGCGCACCGTTCCAAGTCTATTGGTATCCCTGTCCATGGAAGGTGTTCCTTTCAGAGAGGGTGGTTTGACGAAAGCGATGCCGATGTCACCAGTCCAACCTGTACAGGTTTCGCAGGAGCCATGTTTGAGAAAATTCCTCACGAAGTCCGAGATGTTGCCATCTAAAACTTACATTTACATCAGCACCTTTGCTCTTCTTTCATTTCCTTTCATTTCTCTTGTTTGTTTTGTATCCATCGACGGTGATGTTTTCGTTTGTTGTGGGCAATCTGGTGTCTTTTGAGGAACGTGTATTTTCCAATATTCTCAACCAGGGATACCCCTCGGATTGGTGTGAAACCCATTTCGGATGGGACACGGGAAGAATTTTTGCACCCCTGCAGCACGGGGTTATCAAATTCTAGCTCAACAATGTATGTTCATCATTTAAGGGGATCCTAATTATTTCAGGGTCCAAAACTAATATTTATAGTTTATTTCTCCGAAAACATTTGGTGATTGATTAACGACAAAACTTTGTCGTAATTTTTGTCGTAGTTTGTCGTAATTTTTTGTCGAAAATTCTCTAC